AGGGCTGGCAGCTCCGAGGGCAACCTCGGGAGGAGGAAGGGGCACCGAACGTGTGGCTATCCCTCCTCTTCCCTGCCTCGAGGACGGCTCTATTAGCCGTCTGCCGAGGCCATCAGTTGATTATCTAGTCTGACCCCAAATCATAGGCAATCATGGACAGTCATTTTGAAATACAATTTTCAAGCAATTGACTACTTCAATTTGGCTGTCTGTGTGTAGGCAGTTTGATGCATCATGCAGAGCTACTTGCCATGTTCTAGCAGACCCAGTTTGCTGAAACCTATCTTAAGGGCACCACCACAGTTAATTTCTGTTCCAGACTATTGTTCCAGACAGCAGTGGGCTGTTGGGTCAAACCAGCATGTTTTCTCATGGCATCATGCAACACTGAGAGAAATATTAAAATGGCATCAAGATCCAGCACTGCTCTTGCCTGATGCACCAGCAATTAAATCTATCAGGACTCATCAATAAGAAGGAGGCTGTTTAGCCAGGGGTCCTTCAAACCTAGAATCAGCCTTGGCACCATTACAGAAAACAGGAGGTTACACATGTTCCATTTTGCTATGCATGGCTTATGGACTCCCCCCTCCATAATTTCAAGTTACAGTAATGTCAGAAGTTTGGGGATTGAAGGAAAATTTTAATAGAGGGACAGAATTCATATTGTGGGGGCAATGTCCTGATTCTATGCCACCCCACTAGCTATACCCTGGACAGACATTACGTTTCCTCAATTAGTCCAGTGTGCTGCCTCCATATATTTCAAGTTACACAGGAGTGTGCTAAGTCCCATGTGGGTCCCTCCAGGTAAGACCTTTGCACACATGATGGGAAGAACTATGCTTATTTTGTTCTTTTTTTTTTTTTTTAAAAAAAACACCTCTCACTGTGAATTTATTAGGCATGAAATAGCAAAGCTTTCCCTTCCAAGGTGTATGATTTGCTTGACATGACCAGTTCTATCTCACTTAAATCACTTCTTTTCCAGATGGCAAATGATTGGCAAATTTTGGGAAGAGGAGCAAAACTATTACAGTTTGTTAGCCTGAGAAGTATGGTGTTTTTTTGTTTTTTAATCTCCTTTCATTCCATTTCAATTGGCCTAATTTAAACCTTTTGAGAAAACAAGGCATTATGTGCAAGAATATTCATTACTCATATTCATGCATATTTATTCAAAGGAGAAATGTGATATTGTTAAGGTTGCAATCTTACCATTATACTTGATAATTTTACTTCTGGTAGTAAATTTTCCTTTTTTTTTTTTTTTCTTTAGATACTCCCAGAAAATGTAATGTCATGCAATCCACAAGATGTAGG